GAGGCTGCGGATGCTTCTCTTAAAGGGCCGTACCACTTTTAATTCAAAACAGATCCTTGGAACAGCTGTCTAGCTGCTGGCAGGAGGAAGGAGGAGAGAGACAGCCTGGCTGTAAAGGGAAGGTGTCCTCAAAAGAGATGTTAGATTCATTCTCAGAAGTAGTTAAAGCAGAGGCAGGCAGGGGCTGAGGAGCAGGTCCAGCTACCGGGTACTTTCTTCTTTCAATAGAGGACCCTGGGAGGGCGCCTCTTTCTCTCAGAAAAGATAACCAGGCTGAACAGGTCCCTAAGACTGTTGACTATTCTGGTAGCCTGATCTGTGACAACTTAAGACACTGTGTGTGTGTGTGTGTGTGTGTGTGCTTGTATGTGTGTTTGAGACAGGATATTTCTGTGTAACCTTGGCTGTGTTGGAACTCACTCTATAGACCAGGCTGGCCTCAAATCCACAGCGATCCACCTGCTGCCTCCTGAGTGCTAGGATTACAGGAATGCCCCACCACCGCCTGGGTGACATTGGCCATATTTAATGAAGAAATTACATGATCCATTTGTATATCCATGTCCTGAGGACCTGAGATTCTCACTTGAGCAGGTGTCTGCCCAGTCTGTAGACCGCTCACTGAGGCCAGATGTTGGCAGCTCTGTGCATCAGACAGTTTAGTCAGACAGTCATTCATCTGACCCTGAAGTGGGCACAGGGACCTAGGCAGAAAGAGTGCTTCCCAGGGGGTGGCTGTCTTGGCCCAGCCATTCCACTGACTAGGGAACCCTGAGCCACTACTGTCTACGCTGCGGACTCTGCTCTTGATTCGTCTGGCTGGACAGAAAAGAACAAAGGAGCTCTGTCCTGGGTCAGAGTGCCTAAGAGAAGAGAGAGTAGGGCACCACAGCTGGGTCCTCCAGGCACTCTGACAAACATATTTACAAAGAGAAGCAAAGGCTACAGAATACGATTGGCTTTTTGTGAGGTGAGCAAGGGTGGGGAATGGGTCAGGGTAAGTCTTGTGTTGTACTTACAATTTCTGAGTCAAATAAAAAAATATTTTGAGAACAGGTCTCACTATATGGCCCTGGCTGGCCTGAGGCTCTCAGTGTGTACCAGGCTAGCTTCTAGCTCAGAGAGATCTACCTGCTAGCGAGTACTAAATATTTTGAGCAATTAAAATATAATGAATGGTAAGTCAGAACAAACCTTAAAATTTAGTAAAAATGAAAATAAATAAAGCTGCATGTCAAACTGTTACCCTGACCCAACTGGGACACCTAGTTGCTTGGGTCAGACAGCAAAGCTAAGGGACGGCCGCTGCTCACCACTGCTCCTGGGCTCAGCAGCCATGCTTTCCCCAAGGCAAGCACAGCGGTGCGGGGCACTGGGGGCCGGGACATACATGACGGCAGAGCAAGGGCAGATGTCTTCTTTTCTTTCTTCTCTCCTCCTCCTGCTCCTCCTCCTCCTCCTCCTCCTCCACCTCTTCCATCTCTTCCAAGACACTGCTTCTTTGTGTAGCCCTGGATGTCCTGGACTTGCTTTATAGACCAGGCTGGCCTCAAACTCACAGAGATCCTCCTGCCTCCATCTCCCACGGCATGTGCCCCTAAGCCCAGTCTTTTCTTTCTTCTTGACCTGGGATGTCCAGCTCTTTGCCAGGGTGGAGCACCTGGTGTTAAGCCTTTAGCCTTCAGGACCTCCCAGCAGCACCGGCCTCCACGTCGCTGGTGCTCTGAATGTCATAAGCGCTCTCCCACCTACAGACAGCAACAAATTCTTATGATGAGTTTCCTCCAAAATGGAAGTCCACAGGGACCCTGTTAGGTGTTGTTTTATTTGCTTTGAGACAGGCTTTCCTTCTGTGTTCCTAACTGGCCTAAAAGTCACCGGAATCCCACGGTTGGCTTCTGCCTTGGGTCCCAAATCATGTTTCTTCGGAGAAGCGTCATGTATTGTCCTGACCTAATCAAGAAAAAAATTAATTCAAGAAGTTTTCCACTAATATATGTTTATTTGCTTACTCATTTGAGATGAGTGGGGCCTCACTGTGTGGCTTCGCCTGGTCTTTAGCCCCACAGCTCACGGGATGGTTCTCCTTACCCTCGCAAGCAGCTAGCTGAGACACCACTCAGGCGCACACCACTCCCTGCGTCACGTTTTAGAACATAATATTCTGTGTTTTCCTTTCTCTAGTGGGATAGTCCAAGGCCAAAATAACCACACAGATTATCTTTAATCCTTCTTTTTCTCTGAGACAGGGTCTTATGTATCTCAGGCTGGCCTCAGTGTGCTATGCAACTGAGCATCACCTTGAACTTTGGATCTTTCTGCCTCAATCCCCTGAGTGCTGGGATAACAGGCATGCTCCATCATGTTTGAGTGGTGCAGGAGTTTGAAACTAGGATCTTATGCATACTGGACAAGCATCGAACCAACTGAGCGCATCACCGGACTCCATCTTCCTTGTTTTGTTTGTTTGCTTTTTGCTCTCTGTGTAGCCTTGGCTGTCCTAGAACTCACTCTTGTATTTCAGGCTGGGCTGGAACTCAGCAATCTGCCTGCCTCTGCCTCCTGAGTGCTGGGGTTAAAGGCCTGCGCCACCACCCCATCTTTGTTGTTGATGGGGCAGGTCGCTCTGTATAGACCTGGCTTTGTAGAACTTCCTGTGTAGCTCAGGCTGGCCTCAGATTTAATCCTCCTGCTTTTGCCTCTCTAATTCTGGGATTATAGATAAGTGACATCATACCTGGTTCGTGCGTGCCTGCCTGTAAACATGTACTTGTGAGGTGCCACGGTGTATACGTGAAAGTAGAAGACAGTTTCGGCAGTTGGTCCCCTCCTTCCACGGTGGGGTCTAGAGACTGAGTTCAGGGCGCTGGGTGTGCGTGTTTCATCGTACCAGCTCAGCTTTGCTTTCTTAACAGAAAGTCTCACTCTGTAGCTCTGGCTTCCAGGATCTCACAATGTATTTCAGGCTGACCACAAACTCGTGACAATCCTCCTGCCTCAGCCTCCCCCATACTGGAACTGTAGGTTTGAGCCACCGTGCCTGGCTGTGCTTTTCTTATTGTTGTTGGTGGGTTTGTTATAGTAGCTTGGAAATGGTTTATTGTTAATTTTTTTTGTCGTTGTGGGAATCACGCTCCAGATCTTGCGAATGCCAGGAAATTGCTTTACCACTGAGCTGCCCCTCTATCCGCACAGCATATTTTTAGGCTATAAACAACACAAGCATTCTTGCTGCAGGAGAGACCGTGTGTTTTGCTGTTTCTTTCCCTTTTTTTCTTTCTTTCTTTTTTTGTTCCTTTTGTTTTTTGTTTGGAGACTGAGTCTCTCTGCCTAGTGCTGGCTGTCCTGAAACTCACCAGGTTGTGAGGCCTCAAACTACGAGCTCTGCCTGTCTGTGCCTCACAAGTGCAGAAATCCTAGCCTTATTTCATAGTTTATATATTAGGAAATGTCCTTGTCCCAGGAATTAGGCATTAGAGAAGTATTCAGTGACAAAGAAGCACGCTGCGTGCCACTTACTCTGTTGATTTGTGTGTGTGTGTGTGTGTGTGTGTGTGTGTGTGTTTGTGTGTATCTGTTTATGTGCCATTGCATGCAGGTGCCTTCACAGGCCAGGACAGAGGGTTTGATCCCTTGGAGCTTTCGTTACAGGGAGTTGTGAGCTGCCTGACATGGTGCTAGGAATCAAACTCAGGTCCTTTGAAAGAGCAGTAAGCACTGTTAACCAGTGTATTAATCTAAAAGATGTTCTTTGTACTTAAAAAAAAAATTTTTTTAAGACAGGGTTTCTCTGTGTAAAGTCCTGAAACTTTCTGAAAGTCCTGGAACTTTCTTTGTAGATCAGGCTGGCCTCAAACTCACAGAGATGTGCCCGCCTCTGCTTCCTGAGCACCAGCATTAAAAGTGTGCACCATGCCTGCTTGGCTACCTTTGTGCTGTTTTTATATCACGCCTCTAAATTGGAAATAATTTAAAAACTGGGCCCAGTGTGTTGTCACAAACTCGCAATCTCAGCACTTGGAGGGCAAAGCAAGATGATCACCACCAGTGCAAGGTCAGCCTGGTCTGCATAGGGAGTTCCAGGCTAGCAAAGGCTATAAACAATTGAAGATGATGGCACATTCCTGTAATCCCAGGAGTCAGGTTGTGGAGGCAGGCAGATCAACAGTTCAAGGTCAGCCTCTGCTACATGAGATACTATCTTAAAAACAACAAATGACAACACAAAAACTTTAAAGTCACCCCTCACAGGAAGCATAGCAGCCAGTATGAAGGCAGCCACATTGGCTAAATTCAGATCAATTTGAGCATAGAAAAAAAAAAAAAACAACAAAAAAACAAAACCCAACAATGAGACAAACAAACAAACAACAACAACAAAAAAACCAAAAACCCAAACAAACAAGGCATGAGGGGCTGGAGAGATGGCTCAGTGGTTAAGAGCACTGTCTGCTCTTCCAGAGGACCCAGGTTCAATTCCCAGCACCCACATGGCAACTCACAACTGTCTGTACTCCAGCTCCAGGGGAGTTGACTCCCGCTACTGGCCTCTGCTAGAGCCACGGGGATGCATGTGGCACAGACATGTTTGCAGGCAAAACATCCACACACAAAAAACAGAAACATCCAAAAGCAAAAGAAAAAGGGCATGAACCAATACTTAGGAACCTTTTTTAAAAGAGGGACAGTGTTTCTTAATGGAAAATTGTTTAATAAAGGTAGAATGATAAATTCAGAAAGTCATGATTTTGCAGCCATAAATGGATCCCATTAAAATGGGCCATAATCCCTGTAAGTTGGGAGGCTGAAGCAGAAGCATTAGAACTTTGAGGCCAGCTTGGGCAACTTGGCATGACTCCGTCATAGAACAAAATAAATGAATCAGGGCTGTCGGTGATTAGCAGAGCATTTGTGCAGTATGTGTCAAGTTCTGCCAGGAAGCCCTAATACTGCTGTCTGCCTACGGTTTCTATCGCTGTGGTGAAACACCGTGACCAAGCTGGAGAGGAAAGGGTTTATTTGGCTTATGCTTCCACATCTATCTCTGTCACCGGAGACAGGCAGGACAGGAACTCAAACAGCACAGGCACCTGGAGTCAGGAGCTGAGGCAGAGGCCATGGAGGGTGCTGCTCACTGGCTTGCTCCTCATGGCTTGCTCTGCCTGCTTTCTTATAGAACCCAGGACCACCAGCCCCAGAATGGTACCACCCACCATGGGCTGGGCCCTCTCACATCAATCGCAAATTAAGAAAATGCCCTACAGCTGGATCTTGTGGCAGCATTTCCTCGATTGACTTTCAGATGACTCCAGCTTGTGTCAGGTTGACATGAGACTAGGAAAAAAAGAAAAAGAATTCATTCATCAAGTGATGTTAAAATGTTGCATAAACAAGGTTGGGACACAGCATCTGCAGTTTAGAGAATTAGCCCACAGCTGACTTACTACTCCACGAGGAGCAAGGGGCCGTGATATGGAGGAGTGTGACTTTAACCTGACCAGGTAAATGGTCGAATGTCACACACTCACTTCCAGAACAACATGTATCTCCTGATGCTCTGCCATTCCTGTCACCTCCCCTTTCTAAATGTGGGACAGTTAAAAGAAAACAAGCTGGAGTTCTTTATTTTAAAAAATGCTAGTGTGTCCAAAAAGAAAGAAACTGAAGGGGGCCAGGCAAAGTGCACAGCTCAGTAGGGGTCTGAGGTTTCACGTTCTCGTCTCTGTGCACAAGGAGGTGTCCACGTTTGTCAATGTAGATGTGCCACCTAAATGAAGGCATGACGGCACCCACACACAGGTGTCGCAAGCATGAGCAAGGACTCATGTTTGCATAAGGCTTTCCAGACTCTGTGTACCTGAACCCAGGACACTGTGGAGCAAACAGAGATCTTTAAGCCAATGGACATGTGAGCCACATTCTTGCTTGGGCTGAGGCACCTGGGGACCTCCCCCTGGCCAAGTCCCATACTGAGCAAGGGCTCCCGAGGAACCCCCCGAGGTGCCAGGTCAGGATGGCAGCCTGCCTCACAGGCTTCAGACTGCCAACATCAGCTCAGGAAAGAGAGGTCTCTATGATTCTCCAGCCGGGGACCAACCTCAACCTGAAACAGATGGGCTGTTCATGGACCTCGTCTGTACCTGTTTGTCCCAACACATATCCTAGACTTATCGAATCTTAAATACCGTTCTGCATTCTTCACCCCAGCTCAGCTGCTAGCAAAGAATGTGGCTCAGTGTTTTTGGGGTATGTGTCAACTTCTTTACAATCTCAAGGACCACAAGCATTTCACTCCCCTCTCTGTCCTGGTAGCAAGTCAAGAAGGTGCTGAAATCGGCAAGATGGGTCGGCAGGCAAAGCTGCCTGCCTCCAGACCAGATAACCTGAATTCTGTCCTTCAGTTTCACAAGGTAGGACAGAACAGACAAGTTCTCTGACATCCACAGAGGCACATGGCATGCCTGTACTCTTCTTTCACAGACAACACACAAAACAAATGCATAAATATAACTATTATTGTTGTTGTTGTTTCAAGATAGGATTTCTCTGTGCAGCCGTGGTTGTCCTGGAACTTGCTCTGTAGACCCCGCTGGTCTCAGGAATCTGCCTGTCTCAGCTTCCCAAGTGCTGGGGTTAAAGGCAAGTGTTACCACTCCAGGCCCAAGACCAACCCAGGAGCGCCTGTCACCATGTGAAGATGATGCTCACAGGGACATCTGAGGTGAGGGAGGCAGGATCAGCGTAGGTGAAAAGAAGGCCGACACTGGCGTGGGCATATCCAGCATTTGGTTGCCTACAGGTGGCTGCAGGACCCCAGGCTGGCCGCAGGCAGCATAGCGAGGATGAAGAGACAGTGTGACCCTGACCGAAGGGTGTCCTTCTGGGGAAAAGCCCTTTGGGTCCCGCCGTCGGGGCGCCTGGAACAGCCACCCGCCTGCTCTTACCGCACCGGGGCAGAGCTAGGCGAGTAACCAGCGCTCCGGGGGCGGAGCCGGGGGCGGGGCTCGGAAGCGAGTCGGCCCCGCCCCCGAGGCCGCGTGGCCGTACGTCCCGGCTGTTGCGGATAAAGTTGTTTGAGGCGAGCCTGCTGCGGTCACGTGAGCGGAAGATGGCGGCCCCGGCGGGCGGCGGGGGCTCCGCGGTGTCGGTGCTGGCCCCAAACGGGCGGCGCCACACGGTGAAGGTGACGCCGAGCACCGTGCTGCTGCAGGTGCGGCCGCCGGCCCGGGTGGGGAACCGGCGGACGGGTGGACTGGCGGGAGGCCCGAGGTCGCCGAGCCGGGGCCCGCCCCTGCGGTTGCTCCCAGGGCTGCGGGGCGGGGCCGGTCCTGGGGGCGGGGCCTGAGGCAGCCAATGAGCGTCCTCCTCGCGGCCGGCCGCCCGCCCCGTCCTCTGGCGCTAATGCTCTCGGGTTGGTCCCGGGGGCGGGGCGGGATGCTCAGAGGCGCGTTTCCTGAGCATGGTGGGGTCTGGGGGCCCCACTAACAGGGTCGTGCCGGAATCTTCGATGCTTGCCCGAGCCCAGCCTCCGCGGTCACCGGGAAGAGCCATGTCCCTGTGTGCTCAGCTCAGGGGCGTCCCTCCGGACACTAGCTCAGCCTGTCTGTGTTCCCGGAAGTGAATTTTGCTAAGTCACTCACTACTTTTGACTATTGCTGCTTGTGACCTCGTATGAATCACACCTGTTTATTGAACCTCTGTTGTTAGGTTGCAGAAGCGCCCACGATTCATATCTGGCAGAAGCACACAGGGTGGAGAGGGGAGCCCAGCTAAAATGAGGTTCTAGAATACCTAACCCAGCCCCGTGACCCTTTGGAAGGACCTGTTTGGAGCTGGGCTCTTGGAGAGGAGGTTCTGGTCATGCAGCAGCCTCGCAGAGTGGCCAGGGGCACTGTAATGCAGGTTCTGTGTGTGTGGCTAGAGGCCACCTAGAACCCAGTGCGTGGGGCCAGGTTGGACAGGTTGTGCTGTGCTACAGTTGGGGGAGTAAGTCAGAAAGTGGACAGTTCCGTCCGCAGGTTGCTTGGGCCTATTGAGTGGGCTGTTTGGTGCGTTGGCCTGTGTGCCTGCCAGATGAGTGCCCTGGCCCACGCAGGTTTCACTGTCCGTTCTTCCCCAGGTACTGGAGGACACATGCCGGCGGCAGGAATTCAACCCCAGCGAATACGATCTGAAGTGAGTGTGCGTCTCAGACCGTCCTGTCCATTCTCAGCACACATACACTGCCTCTGCCTTGGAAGAGCCCTCTTGGGTAGTTTACAACAACAGAAGTTTGTTCTTGCCCAGTTCTGGAGGCAGAGTCCAAAATCAAGGTGTCAGTATGGCTGCACTTTTTTTTTTTTTGGATACAGAGTTTAGAGTTTCTCTGTGTAGCCTTGGGTGTCCTACCAGGCTGATCTCCTCTGCCTCCAAGAGTGCTGGGATTACAGGCCTGGGCCACGCCGCCCCACTAGCGGTATTCTAGGGGAGAGCTTCTGGTTATCAGGTGTTCTTTATCACTGAAATCTCTGCCTTGAGAAGACACAGGTCACTGGGTTTAGGGTCCTCTGGTTAGGTCAGCATGACCTCATTTGATTTACTCCCTTAACTTACATTCATAAATACCTATAGCAAATAAGGTCATGTTCGTAGGTTTCAGGGGCAAGAACAGTGATGTGTCTTTTGGGGATGCCGTGGAACACACACTTGGAGTGGCAGGCTATTCTGCCACAGATCTTGGTGCCAGCTGTGCCCACTAACCTGCCCATGGTCCACGTAGTGGTGTCTGGTTGGAGCAATGACTATAATTTGAGCCAGTTCCTTTACAACGCTGCATTTGCTTTGCCTCATCTCTCTTTTCCATCCACTGACTGTGATTTGTTTAAGAAGTGCTCCCACTGCCTTGACTGCTGCCTGGCTATAAACATAGCAGCTCTTCTTTCCACCCACTGCTCACCATTCTTGGGCCTGCTGGCCAGGTTTGCACTAGCATTTTCTATGGTGGTTTGCCATTTTTGAGCCTGTGTTGAGAGTTGGGATCAACAATGTGTCATTCTCAGTTCTATTTCTCTCTCTTCTTTTTCTTTTGTGATACAAGGTCTCACTATGTAGGCCTGGTTGGCCTGGAACTCACTGTGTAGATCAGGCTGGCTTTGAGCTCACAGAAATCCTCCTGAGAATTGGGATTAAAGGATGTGCCACCACTCCTGGCTCATTGTCAGTTCTTCCAAAGACACTTGGGCTTCACATACAGGTCACCATCTGGAAAACTGTTATTTCCAGCAGTGTCTTACACTTCCAGCGCCAGGCTAGCCACTTTGTATATTCAAAAGCGGTTGCCGTAGATTGGAACTTTACACACATGTATCTCTCTAGTTCTGTAGTTTCTGTTGTCCTCCAGCGGTCCTTAAGTGGCCTGTGCTTATCTCCTAAGGATTGCAACTTTACATTTTCAGAGCTGTGGGCCGGAGCTTTTCATAGGTGTGCAAACTGTAGGGAGTTTTCCAGACCTAAGGAGGTCAGAATGAGAAGGGACAAGGCTAGGAAGGCTCCTGGTGGAGGCTGTGGCCCTTCCCTGGCTGAGTCCCCAGGTGATGGCGTTAAGGGAACTTGTCTCCCTTCTTGCCTGTTCTTCTCTTTCAAGGAGAAAATACCGGCCTGGCTTCCAGAGTGGGATGCCAGGAACCAGCCATGGTCCCGTTTCTGCCTTTGTGTGGCCTGTGAACTGTGATTAAGCTCTCCAGTCTGGGCTAAGCTGTCTGGAGAGGGCTTGGTCCTTTGATGCTTCTGGGAAACTGTATGTTTCAAGACCCTACAAGGCCTTGGAATCTCCCAGCCCAGGATGCAAAGGAGGTTTCAGGCTTGCCTTGTCCTTCAAGGGAATCTGCATTGGCCTTTCGTTACTGGTTGGGAGGCACTGAGCCCTCTTCAGCCCTTCCTACACACTGTCCCCTCAGGACTCATACAGACATGTAATTGTCAGTGTGACTCTGTGTCTGCATTTCTGTAAGGACATTGGGCTGGGCATGAACAGCTTTGACAGCTGGAATGACAGATGATAGATAGTTCCTTGGTATTTTCTTTATATTTTATACACAAATTGTGTATGGTACTGTGCCAAGCATGCTTGTGGAGGTCAGAGAACAACATGCTGGAGTTAGTCCTCTTACCAGCTTGCTGACCCAGCATGTGGGGCTTATTATGCATCAGGGTTTTACGAAGTCCAGGCTGGCCTGCTCTATGTAATCAACATGACCTTGAACTCCTGATCCTTCTGCATTACCACAAAAGAACTGGGAATACAGGCGTGAGCTACCGTGACAGGGTTGTGCAATACTGGTGATTGAACCCAGGCCTCAGGCTTGTTAGGCAAGTACTCTACCAAGTGTGCCACGCTCCCGTGAGACAACTTCCTGAGGGTTGTTAGGCCAGTATCTGCTGCATTATTTGTAGGGTCCACCCTTGCCTTTCACAGTGGCTTATCCTGTTATCTTCCTGTTCACAGCTCTGCCAGCCCTGTGCCCAGGTCCCTGGAGTCCACGACTTTGCCTCTTGTTTCTGCAGGTCCTGACTTTCTGCTCTTGTAGCCAAGGGAACAGTAGGCATGGAGTTGTGTCTCAGGACAGTTACGGCTGTGTCTGTTCTGCAGGTTTCAGAGGACCGTGCTTGATCTCTCTCTCCAGTGGAGATTTGCCAACCTGCCTAACAATGCCAAGCTGGAGATGGTGCCTGTGTCCCGCAGCCGTGAGGGGCCTGAGAACATGGTAGGTGCCAGCTATGAGGGCCAGTGCTGCTGCCTCTCTGTCGCTGCTGGGGCTCTGGAACACTGGCCAGCTCTGCAGTGGGAGATGTGCTGGCGCTTTGCCTGTGGGCCTGAGAAGGGATGGAGAGGTTGAAGCAGGATCCATTCTGCCTTCCTCCATGAAGCCAATTCAAGAGCTGAATTTCCTACTTGAAGAACTCAGGCTGGGAGTGAAAAGTTTCTTCCATTTTGCAGGTTTTTATATATATATATATATATAATTTATTTTTATTTTTATTTACACTGGTGTTTTGCCTGCACGTGTGTTGGAATTGGATGGGCTGGAACAGGAGTTACAGACACTTATGAACTGTGAGCTGCCATGTGGGTGCTAGGAATTGAACCTGGGTCCTCTAGAAGAGCAGCCAGTGCTCTTAACTGTTGAGCCATCTCTCAGGCCCCTGCCTTTTTTATTATGTTGTTTTGTGTTTGTGTTTTGATGGGATTTGTTGATAACATTTCCCTACCAGCTGGATGTTTCTGGTCAGAGATCCTAAATTTCTGTGTGGACATGGCTGACAGACACTTGTTTCTCCCTAGAGAGCTTGCTATGCCTTGGCTTCAGCTTTGCCTACTTGCTAACATGATCTAGAGAAGTGGTTTTAACCAGTGGGTCACGGTCCCCTTGGGGGTGGGTAGGCCCTTTCCCAGGGCTCATATATCAGATATCCTGCTTATCAGACATGTATATTAGGATTGGTAACGGCAGCAAAATTACAGTTACAAAGCAACAGTGAAAGTCTTTTCCTTCGGGGCTCGGCCCAGCATGAGGAGCTGTACGGGGCTGCAGCGTTGGGGAGGTTGAGAGCCACTGCTGTAGCCACTGATCCAGGGGACTTTCTGCACCTTAGGTTGTAGCTCACGTTCCTGTTGAAGATGCAGCTACTGGGAATAGGCAGAAGCTGAGGGAACACCAGGTGTCCTCTGCTGTGCCATAAGCTGCCCTGCAGTTGGGGACGCCTTCCTAAGTGTTCCCGTCACGTGGGATCCTGGGGCCTGGGTTTCCCAGAGAGGCTGCGCTGGTGCAGTCTGCAGCCTGTAGAGTGTAGAGTGGGCGTGCCCATGCTTGATGGTGCAGCGCTCCTGGGAGGCCCCTGGACATCCCTCCCCGCCTCACTGTGGGTCTCCCCACGAGGTGGCGAGGGTCTGGGTCTGCTGGGCAGTGCCCTTCTTCCTGTTCTCTCCAGGTTCGGATTGCGTTACAGCTGGATGATGGCTCCAGGTTGCAGGACACGTTCTGTTCCCGCCAGACCCTCTGGGAGCTTCTTAGCCACTTCGTACAGACCAGGTGAGCCGCAGTGGGCAGATCCCAGGCTCTTTCCCGCCCCCTCCTGGCAGAGGTCTGAAACCCACGCTGCATTC